TTGATACTGCCAAGCTGGATTTAACCGGACATTATATGCGGTTAAATCCAACTTGGCAGTATACGGTCGTGATACGAGCTTTCGCCGGACAGGAATCATGAATAAGTTGTGGCGAAAGCCTGTCACAACACCAGATTTGAACAAATCACCTGGCGATATTCGACTCCGACTCGAGAACATACCAAGCGTGATCGATAAAAGGCGGATATCGCCAAAGATGGTGTAATCTTCATAAACAAATGATTATACCAATATATCGGCGTTTTGCGACACGTACTTGGCGAATACCGATAAGTTCACCAAGTTTTATAGCAATATGTGGGCCACGGGCATGTTACACCAATACCAAGTTGCTGTTGTTACGGGAGACCGGTAGCCAACGGTACTCGTAACCAAACACAGGGGAATTAACTGTAGGGATACTAAGACCAAGACGTAGTCGTAGAGTCGCAGGTACAGTCAATTCAAGAAAGACTGAGAATAATGCTGAAAGATACACATATCGGCGAATCATCAGACTTCAGAGATATACGATACGTCTTTGGTTAAACTGTTAAGTTCACATGGAATGGGAATCTAGCAGTTTCATGCTCGAACGAGTTAATTAGCGCACGCCGACCATGAGGAAGGATTCCCATGACAGACTCCCCCCCACGGATGAGTGTGCTACAGTAATGTTAACAATACTTGATACATATAGACGCACTCTCATTCGTGTCATTTGTCAGGAGCTAATTAGCTTGTTGAAGATTGAATCCCAGGGTCACCAACCGCTGTAGAACTGCTCGCGGTATGAGTCGACGTCCTTGTAGCCTGAAGGGTGGAACATCATAGTTCACTTGGTCAGGACTCGCTAGCAAAATAGTAGACAACGGCATCAGTCTTGCGCCTTGCAGTTGTAAGGGCTGTAGCTTTAGATGGCCATCAGAGTCCCTGTCTTTGAATTCAGCGAAGTAGAATCGTGTAGAATCATCAGCGAAGTTGACCGCCAGAATATCATCCTTAGTATATTCAACGTCGGGATTAGAGAAAAATCTCAAAACGTGTTCACGTTGATCCAGTTCATCGAATGGAATTAGTAGACGACCATTGATGGAAGAGGACTTGTTGGGCTCATCGTCGAACATAACATCGTAGACACCAGTAGAAGGGTTTAGACATCTGGCTATTGTGCCTCGACGAAGATGCACAGACGGTCCATTAGGCTTGAAGAAAACGCGCTGGCCAGTAGATAATGGTGAAGAGTTTGATGATGGAGAAGAGCAATTTCTTCTGTCCACTTCTTTTATTCTCTCATCAGTACGAAGTAGGATAGACTCCTGTAACCAAGTATCAATAGATTCCGCCACTTGCTGACGAAGTTGTTGAAGATGAAGATACTGATCAGTGCTGGTGATAGTGGACATGTCTCCGGAGTCAGCAGAGGTGATGTTAGGTACAAAAAGATGAATTGGGGTAGGCGATATATCCTTAGTGCCAAGTACGAGAGATGACGGAGACAGGTCGTGCTCAGAGGCAGTACTAGTGTTAAGAACCATCTGACCCAATTTGCAGAGCAAATCCCATCTATCATAACCTTCAAACTTGTTTAATAGCGAACGTAAGTCTCTGTTTTTGCGTTCAATAGCTCCATTGCCCGGTGGATAATAGGCCGTGCTTCTAGGTAGGCGAAGTCCGCATAGTAGACCAAGTGCTTCCCATAACTTGGAGCAGAAAGCTTGATGATTGTCGCTTTGGATAGACGCCGGCCATCCAAAATTGGCAATCCAATGAGTATAGATAGCTTCGGCTGCCACCAGAGCACTATGATCTTTGACAGGTACGAAGCACACCCAATTAGTTGAGAGATCGACTATAGACAAGATGACCGTCAGTTGACCAACATTAGGTCGACGAGGATCAACATGATCTATAGCTAGATGCTTGAAGCGAGTAGTCACCAATGGGACAGTCTTTAATGGTGTTGGGGGATGATGATGTAGGGAAGTTGGAGCACACGTTGGGCACCTTCTGACATAGTTCCGTATATAAGTGCTAATACTGGGGAACCATATATTTCGTCTCGCCATGGTGTAAGTGCGAGACCGGCCAATGTGTATCGGACCATCGTGAAACAACCAGACGAAGAACTGCTTAGCAGTTAGGGCTTGTTGGGGATCAGGCACAACATCCGTCGTATTATCAATAATATAGGGAAGAACGAGGCAGTCTCTGAAGTCACCACCATCAGGTATAACAGGGACAATATGCTCTTGTCCATCATAGGTAACTTTGGTGAGAAGGAGGCCGTCAGAGTCCATGATGAATCGTCCTGACTGAGCAACAGCTCTAGCCGGACTGCGAAACTCGGCATTAGTGTCATAACCTTCTGTAGCATCCAATTGTTGTACTTCGTCATAGATCGAAGCCAGCGTAGCACCACAGTAGAGAGTTGAAGTGTCATTCTTCTGTAGTTCAGCTAAGCGTAGGCGAGTTGGTGATGACCTTCGTAATACTTCCCGTAAGGCCGGGAGATCTTCATCGTGATCATAATTGTCTTGATCATCAAAACCCACGTCGGAGTTGTCCGGGATGGTTTCGCCCCCCACCACAGCGAAAACAAGGTCGCTTGAGGGTATGGGAACAAGATCGGAGATTATCCTTGAGAATGCATCAGAAAGGAAGTTGGTCTCACCCGCAATGTGCTTGTAGTGAACCTTATACTCTGATAACGGCCATATACGTTCATACCAGCTAATCCATCGTCGCCCACGGAGTCCATCAGCAGGGAAGTTGAGCTGTTGGAAGTTTGATATGGTAACACTGTTGTCACCAAGGACAACGAAATGAGCAGAGTCATTCACTGAGGCATCGTCGATGGGAGGTATGGTAGATATGAGCAAGTATTTGTACCGCTCTAGAGTGCGGACCAATGAATATGCTTCACGATCATGAATAGGCCATCGAATACTTGAACCATGATAACACTCAGACCAACTATCAACAAGTACACTCTCGGTTCCTTGGAGATAATCGTGGTCAATGTCGTTGAGGTCGTGTGGCCGTCTCGACTTGAAGATGGATCCTGCCGCTGCTGTCTCAGAAGAGTCAAAGGTCAGGACCCAGATCATATCGCTACCCAAGGGCTCGCCGAGACAGTGTAGTGATAGTTTCTCTTCCTGCATGTGATCAAATATGAGCTCCCATCGACGCTGCAAGGCTTCATCCCATTGTAGTTTGACCCTCTTACTGTTGCCAAGGTTACGGGAGGTATAGTCGGTCAGTAGGTCGTTGAATGGGCGAGCCAATGCCGAGAGGCTATGATCAGCATGATGAGTTCCACTTTGTTCAGGCCTTCGTGGATTATACCATAACATCCGACAGAATTGGAGTATGCCGAGCTTGGACCGTAAGTCATGGGGGGTCTTGGGCAATTGGTTACGAAGTTGCCGAACTTGCTGTAGGTGATGGTCAGACAAGAACCACTGGCCCGAAACCAATCGCAGACCACATACCTCTATGCTTGTAGATGGAGGTTGAAACTTGCGGTCATTCGTGAGCCATCCAAGGTGTTGCAAGACAGCTGTAACGAAGTCAACCCGAGCTTGACACTGCTCGATAGTGTCACCGAAGCACACGATGTCGTCAACGTAGACTGTGACACCGCAGTCGGAGAGTTGACTGATGTCAACGCCGAATGCTCTGGCCAGAACACATTTCAAAGAGTAACACCACCAGTACGATGAATACTTGTGGCCTTGTGCAAGTCGGTTATAAAGAAAATATCGCTTACCATCCGTGACGCCGGTGCATAATCTGGCCCTTTCGGAGAGTGGTACACAGTGATAGGCACTAGAAATGTCGAGACAGCTGTAGAATCTTGAGCTTGATGGTATGGACTGTAACAGAGTCTTGGGGCTGTCCACGTAAGGTAGAAGGTCACGGGTAGGTTGATTAATCGCAAGGCGTTGGTTGATAGCTCTGAAATCCACCACCAGACGGTACTCAGTTGGCTGTGCTGAGCATTTCTTAGGAACTGCAAGTGCTTGCGCAAAATGCATGGTGTCATCTGGATTGACCTCAGTGACCACGCCTTGAGATTGTAAGTCGTCAAGGAGATCCGAACAGATCTTCTGACGAGTTCCTGTGTTCCATCTTTTTGGACGGAGAACAGGATGATGATGCTTGAAGTGGTAATCCGCGATCGGTATAGTAAAGTCTTCAAATCTTGTTGCAATGTCATCACTCACATGATTGGAGAGAGTTGACGCCTCTGACGACACTTCCGATGTAGTCAATGACAAAACTGAGGCCACCGGAGTTGATGAAGTCGCACGAGATGGTACAGTGACTTCCAATGCGCCAATATGTAATCTACCATTCGCAACGTCAATCTCAGCCTTCATACGAGTCAATGTGCCTATGCCGAGCAACAGTTGGGAGTTGGACAGCATTGAAGTTGAGGCACATACATAGGCTTTAACGTTGAAGTGGATATCAATGCCGGGAAACCTTGCCGGTATGATGACCTCATGCGAGAAGGAGATAGATTGACCATTGAAGACAGAGACTTGACCATTGCAAGGCGAGCTCTTGACGTTTGGTAGTTGTAGAATTTGGGGGCCAATGAGGGTGTGTACCGATGCCGTGTCAATGATGCACTCATAGTTAGCTTCTGTCGAAGAAAGTTGAATATCAATCGACATCAGTGAAGCAGAGTGAAGAGATGAGGTAGAAGCATGACCGACTGCAAAGGTAGTTGCTGTTGGTGAGGGTAATTTACCCGTCTGAGAGCGGGTTATTGGACCATCTTGAGTACCACTCGACTTCTCTGCCGGTTTCTGGGACTTCCCGGCTTTCTTGGGAGCCGGAGCTGGCTGAGATGTCGATGACGATGGAGATGATGATGATTCTCTCATTTCGGGCCTCAATGATGGAGAAGAGATTGAACTAGGCTTTGGCGGGAGACCAGTCATGGATGAAGTCGTGGTTGTAACCGCCGTGGACTGAGGTTGTGGCGACGATGTTGATGATGATGGAAGATGAGATGTAGATGTAGAAGAGCCAGCCGGTGCACCGCCCATGTTGATAGGGTTGTACCAACAGGCATCCTCCGTATGGCTTCGCTTATGACACCACTTGCACGGGGATCTCGATGACTTAGTCGCATCAGTTTTCTTCGCAGGTTTTCCTTTATGGGGGTTATCGTCAGGGTGGTCTTCAGTGGTTACCTTGTCAGCCATGGCCGATACCGTCGACGATGAATGAGTCTGATCGATTGGATCACCCTTAGGACCACGATCCTTTTTGTCTTCCCAAGGGAGGAGAAGAGTAGATGATCTGTGATGTTGCAGCAACAGTTGGCGGCAGGACTCATAGGACAGCTTATGAACAGCGAGCCGCTTGTCTCTGATGTGCTTGGAGATAAACTTCCTGGCACTTTGATCAGCCTTGCGAACAAGGTTAACCACACGATCATAATCGCTTGGAAGAGAAATTGAGAGCCGAACCAGAGCATCAGCATACTTCTCAAACTTCTCCTTCTCCTCAGATATATAAATGGCCAAGGAACGCCCACGTTGGTACACTTTGAGCCAGTCAACGCGCAGAGTGTTGACATCCAAAGTGTATTCTTCGTTTTTCATCAAATGATGCATGATCACAGAGAATATATCAGTCCATGACGATTCCCATGCATCCGACATGAGAAGACTATACCCTGGGGAAGTGTAATAGTCAACCGAGCCAGTTGATCGACACATTGACTCTATATCCTGGGAGGTAGCACAGTTAGATGGATTAACGAACCATGCTTGGAGTGACGATACCACCAGACTGCGACGAATGTGATTCTTCTGGTTGATGTCGGTGAGCCATACTATCACAACCATAGTGATCACTGGGAGTGTGAATTCATACTCGAACTCCATAGTGCTCAGACTCTTCTGCATGAAGGCCTGCAACTCACAAGAAGAGCATTTTGAGAGGTCAATGTCGTCATCCAACCAATATTTAACATTTGTTGCCAGAGTGGCGATATTAGCACAACGCCATTGCCTTCGTATAGTGTCAAAAGTAGAGTTCGTCGAGAACTGTAGGGAGTTACAAAGAACTTGAACAGGATCCTCGTTTGGGACGAGAAAGCCCTCAGTGTTGGCTTTTTGTCGGAACAGTGCTGTCGCTGACGGACGGTACTTTTGGGGAGCGATCGAGCCGCTTGACCTGGCGTCGCCGTCGTTGACATTCATAGGAGATACGTCAGATTGTCCTTCTTTATTCATAGTTGGGCTTCAAACAAGATTGAGGTTGTAGTGTAAAAGTCAGCGATATGGACTCGGAGCACCAGAGCCACAAACGTAACCAGGATACAACCAATAGATACAGTCTTTCCGTGTAAGTCAAGATGAGAGCTTGGAGTAGATGATCGTACTCAAAGCCCGGCGCACTCCACGGAGATGAAACTTTCTTGAATGTTGTTACGGGAGACCGGTAGCCAACGGTACTCGTAACCAAACACAGGGGAATTAACTGTAGGGATACTAAGACCAAGACGTAGTCGTAGAGTCGCAGGTACAGTCAATTCAAGAAAGACTGAGAATAATGCTGAAAGATACACATATCGGCGAATCATCAGACTTCAGAGATATACGATACGTCTTTGGTTAAACTGTTAAGTTCACATGGAATGGGAATCTAGCAGTTTCATGCTCGAACGAGTTAATTAGCGCACGCCGACCATGAGGAAGGATTCCCATGACACTGTAACCGTGCGCACAGAACGAGATAGATCATTTGGGCGAACGAAACTACGGATTACCTCAACCAGTTTCCGCCACATCTCGGTGAAATTCGTTAGGTATCGAGGCCAGAGAGGTGAAATATGGTCCAGAAGCGGTCGTATCCCATGATTGAGCGTGTTGGCGAGAGTTCATTAGGACCCGAAATCGCCAAGCTTGGCGAGTTGGTGAAACCTGGTTCTCCGGCATAATCGAACATGCGAGAGGATACCTTCCCGTTGCGTTCATCGAGACATGGACAGCCCCAGCAACCTTGAATGCGATATATGTGTACTACCATCACAAGGGAAGAAGGAGAATGCCATTGAAATGAAAAAAGCCCATCACATATAGTGGGTTGGTGGATGCAGGGAGAGAAACGAAGAATAGATGCCCTGACCCTAACACCCTAATGTAACGACAGGTATATCCATAGTTTAGTCTTTACCAGCCTCCACTGGTTGGGAGCAGTGTTCACCCTGATGTGATTCTCACTATATATCACCTAATCGATTCCTATCGAGCCCCGCTC